AGCAGCTTTGTGTGTAGAGCGCTTGCCCTGTGACCTGAAGGCTTGTAGTTCAGTCCCATCTGTGCATGTGGATGTGCCCTCGGGCAAGACATGTAGAACGAGGTACAGTATATATGTGAAAGTGACATGTGCTAAGTGGAAGATAAAGGGCACATAACATACAGCACATGCTTTGTCCATGAACCAAATCACAGGTGCACACCTATTTGACCTGCACCTGGGAACTGGTCTTGGGCTGCATCCCCCTCCTCGCCTGGGGGGGGCCTCTTCAGACCAGGATCTACAGCCTGAGTCCTGGATCTACAGCCTGAGTCCTGGATCCACAGCCTGAGTCCATGATCTATAGCCTGCGTTGCAGGCTCTGCAAAGGCACTTTGCCAAAGTGCGTTAAAATTCCCCAAACGTGAGGCAATACTTTTGTTGTGTATAATATGGTCAGATGACTCACACCTGTAGGTATTTTTATTTATTGATCTTTAATATTATGTAACTATTTCCCAAATGTTGAGATTTATTGAGCTGAAATTTGGATATTTGGCAAGACTGTATTCTCGCACTCACCAATCGAATTGGCGTATTAATTAATGGTTAAAAAGCTCTTAATTGGTATTTTGTAAGCATAATTTGTATTTGTAATAATTTGTTTATTTGACTGGACCAGTGCATGTCAATGAACATATGGATGGTCATATTGTCGACACGTCAGATTTCCATCTGCAGTCTGATTATTTCCATCTGCAGTATAGGGGGCGTGTGACAGCAGCTAAAAACATCGACGACAGGAATTCATCCACACAGCGAAGAGCCATTCATAAAAATGATAAAAACAGAAACAGTTGCACACAGCTTCTAATGCATGCAGCCCTCTGTTGCACGCAGCCTACTATTACACACTATCCTCCATTGCATGCAGCCCTTTATTGCACACAAACATTCATTGCACATGTCCATTGCATTTATACACCTACAAGTGCATTTATTATATTAGTATATATCATATAATAAGCACTCACATTAGTCCTTATTCAACATGGCCTTCATCTTCAATTATGCTTGGATTGACCAAAAACTGGCATTAAGGAAAGGTAGGCTAAGGATTGCAGACAGAAAAATCAAAGGTATGTTCTTAACTAAACTGGTGTGGGTTATTTTGGTTCAATGTTTAGAATACAATGATTGAGGTAAATGTTTTCTTGAGAAATTATCTTTAACATCACATGCAACATGCCATAGCAATCTTATCAACCTCTTAGTGTCAATGCTGCAAGTTCTCAGTATATCTGAAATTCATACCAGGATCCATTATTAATATATCTGTCTGTTTGTCATTTCTGGGTTTAGACAAGAATTATGTTCCGTTCTCACGGGAGGATGAATCGACTTTTGCAGAATACCAATTTACGTTTGCTTTGGGTGGTGTCTTATCCACTGTCTTTACATCGGCACAAAACCTGAACATTTGTACGCACTTGTAGCACACACGTAAACATATATACACGCATACACACACGCAGTTACATACACACAAACACAAATCCACTTGTATGTGCACACACTCGCACACAGAGTATATACAAATAATCAAGTACACGCGCGCACGAGCACACACACACACACACACACACACACGTTTTTGTTACCTGGTGGGTCCCTTTGACAGGGCCGTTCAGAATGGGACCCATAGACATAATCTTTTTTTACCAAGACTTTAAGTAATACAAAACAGTCAATAGAAAACAAACAACTATTTTAAAGGAATTTTATTTTAGATTTTGTTTTCGAATTGCAGTGATTCTATTTTTGACATAGAATTTAATGCCACTCCATGTCCGATGTCTAAGGTCATCTGGTGAGGCATTAATGCAGGCCAGGCAGTGAGACTTCCCAGGGACCTTTCCAGTCTGTATGAAAGGTGTCATGGTCTTCTCCACAGCCTTCACCTCAGATGCAGACCATGGCTTTCTTACACGTTCTAGGGAGAGAAATAAAAATATATTAGCAATATACACTCCCAGGGTGAGGACCAAGCAGCCTGGCTGTAATCCCCCACCTGGTACACTTACCAGAAGGGGCACTGCCACTACCATGGGGTGCATCTGGATGAATGGTTGAAGGTTCTCCGCTTGAAGTTTCTTTTAGCCCGTCCCTTTGTGAGAGGATCTCTACTGCTCTCCCTGTCGCACAGAAAATAAAAATACAAGTGGCCTTTAGGGGAAAAAAATCATACATATTTTAATAATATCAAGAATTACCTTCAGGCTCAATTTGTATCTGGTCGAGGCTCTTTCCTTCGAATTCCGTCACTCTTCCCTGCTCCATGGCCATCAACACTTTGCTGATTTTGGCCAGCTCCAGTGTCCCCTCTGGTAGTCTGTAATATTGCCTGTGGATGCGAATGTCATGGCCGAGGAAGTTGGCAAGTATGTCCATCTCATTCTCTTTCATATTGAGAACTGTAGACATAGTAGCTATGTGCTTTCTAAGTTTGGTTGAGGATAGCATCTCTGGATGCACCGCACCACATTCTTTGGCTACCTGGCGTAGGGAGTCTGATCCCCTGATGTGGGTGTCTGCGCCCGGGCGGGAAAAGAAGTATGGGTTATGGTCAGAGATGGAACAGGCCCTTCTGTTCTCCACCAGCACCTCCATCGAAGCAATCATTTCAGGAGTCAAAAGAACCGGCACTTTCCGACTTCTTTTCCCTTTAATTTCAATGCGTTGAAAATGCTGACACAGCTTTTTCTCAAGTTGGGACAGTCCCAGAGCAATGTCAGAATGGATCCCAGTCTTACTTCTTAAGGTAAAGGCTGTCAGTGGCATCTTTGAAACCTCACCTTCCCTTCTTCGATTGAAAATGATGACCTCACAAAGAGTCAAAACTGCCAGTTTAGACCAATGCTTAGACGTTGGCTCACTTATTAGGGTTTTCACATATTCAGGTCGACATACCTCAATATGTGCATGCATGGCTCTAACGTCCTCAGTCAGAGGGAGCAGGTCCGGAGTGTTCCACTTGGCTTGCCGGAGGGTCTGTAGGGCAGCAGAAGAAACACAGACGTCCCACCTCTTCTCAAAAAGCAGCCGGCTTCGTTGGAGGTTTTTAATAAATAGTTCATCAACACAATGCTCCATTTTTGAGTCACATTCAAGAATATCTGCTAGCTTTCTGAGGCTATGGCCGAGTTTGAGGGCCAAGGATGGAGTCTTGTATTGATTTGTTTCCTCATCATATCCAGCCACAGACCTGACTGCATCAATCACATGGTTAAAGTTGGAAGGAATAAAGAAATCCTTAATTGTTTTCAGTTTCCCTGCGGTTTTTGCTTCGTTAATTAACCTACCGACTTCTCTCATTTTCTGCCTAATGTAATCATGCTTTGTCTTATCATGCCCGTGTTTTAAGTACAGGTGCTCTCCGAGTCTCAGAATCCCCTTTTCTGCTTTGACAACACCCGTGACCTCATCCTGATGCATTGCCGAAATTAAAGACCACAGCTTTTTGCTGATGCCCTCCGGTACAGGCTGGGCTAGGGAGCAGAGGGACTGGACCCTACTTCTACCTGGTTTAGCCTGGGCATCTTTCTGTGAAAGCCGGCACCTGGCCACATGCCTCCACAGCGACTTTCGCTTAAGCAATGCCCCACAGTCTATACAGTGCAAAAACTCACTGGATTTAACTGGGGAATTTGGCTGTTTAGCTGGGACTAAAGTTCCAATGCCGGCCTTTAAAACCTCAAAATTGTGTCACGGTTTCCACTATTCCTGATCAAATCAAACTGAAGTTTACGTGCTTTAGATTTCACAGGTAGAGCCAATGCTCTGGCTACGTCACTTTCATTTCCATGTTTTCTAGTCAAATGACGGGACATTTTGTGGCAGGACATTGAACAGTACAGGCAGAAGTGTCTCTTGCTGTATACTCGCCCCCCATTTTTCTTCTTTTGCAGCTGCATGATAACAATCTTATTTGCCTTTGGTTCGTCACTTTCCGAGTCTTGAAGAAAAGTGTTTTTGATTTTTCTTTTTCCATACTTTTTTACAGGTTTCTTCTTGACAGTTAAATCGTCAGAATCTGAGTCGACTTCATCAATTAGGGACTCTTGACTAAGCTGCACAAACAACAAATAATTTGTAATCATTCTATATAACAATTTGAAGTCATGACTTGTAGTCAGCACTTACCAGTGGTTTGTAAGCGTGCGCTTCAGTGTGCTCCTCCATGATTTTTTGCAGCCTAATGAACCACACACTTGCACCTTTTTCTAGCCTGACACCTGATTTCCTCTGTTGTGCTGCTCCATGATTGGCTCCAGCCTGCTGGACTGAAATTGCCCCAGTGTGCCCCTCCTTGATATTCCGCAACCCACCACCAGGGTTCCGACACATAACACACTTTTTTCAGGAAAGTAAACCTCCAGGGGTCCTTTCCATATTTTTACAGAGACTGCATAAGGACCGTTAGAAAAGCATTACCCATTGATTATTAAGCTTGGACCAGTGGGGTCCGGTGTTCGGGCCCCACCACGTAAAACCAGTCCCCATGACGTGTGAGTGGAATCTCAGGTTATGGAACCCACCAGGAGTTGAAAACAAGTGCACACACACACACACGCACACGCACGCACACGCACACACACACACACACACACACACACACACACACACACACACACATACATGTTTTTGCTACATGGTGAGGACCAAATTTTTTGGTGTGTTTAGGACCTACCGCGTGGGGTCCTCACTTTGAACAAGAATTTAAGGCATGTCTTAAGTCATAAAAAAATGATATAAAGACAGATAATTTTTTTGGACTGTGGTCTTCCTGAAATCATGTTAATCATCACAATTCATTTTTATTTTTTTTGTCCGATTTTTCTATTCTCCTGGGGACCTCATACCATAAACCACCAGCGGGTGTCACTATTAAAAAAACCTTGTTTTAGTGATGCCTAGTGGGGACCTTTCTTCACACATGAACAGAACTATTACAAATGTATATGAAAGCTTTTCATTTTGATGAAAAGATCCTGCTGAAGAAGGTAAACATTAATAACATTCATAAGTAAGCTGAATTTTAAGAAAGATGGGTATCATATTTTTATTAACTTCGTATTGAATTGAGTTTATCTCCATCTTGACTATTTACTGTAATTATGTATTGATTAATGATCTGTGCACCTAAGACTAATAAACAAAGTTTAAATAATATATCTTTTTTATTATTATTCTTAGCAACATGTGCATATTATTTTCTGCATAATCATGAAATTATGTTGAATTGATAGTATCACTATGAACTAAAACTAATGAGGTATAAGATTCAGCCCACTGCTTAATGCACATTTTGGTGCATGAATGAGAGCATGGATGAGTGGATCCTTGATTTAAGCGCTTTGAGTGTCTAACAAAGGTAGAAAAGTGTTATATAGATGTAACCATTCTCTTTTATTAACTTGTTTTCTGAAAATACCACAAGATGTATGGAAAACAAATCACAACATCTGTAAACTGCACAGCAAACTAGGCAAGGAGAGAGGAGAGGAGACAAGGAGAGAGGAGCGGTGACAAGGAGAGAGGAGGAGACAAGGAGAGAGGAGGAGACAAGGAGAGGAGGAGACAAGGAGAGAGGAGAGAAAACAAGGAGAGACAACAAGGAGGAGACAAGGAGAGAGGAGAGAAAACAAGGAGAGACAACAAGGAGGAGACAAGGAGAGAGGAGAGAAAACAAGGAGAGAGGAGAGGTGACAAGGAGAGAGGAGGAGACAAGGAGAGAGGAGGAGACAAGGAGAGAGGAGGAGACAAGAGAGAGAGGAGGGAGACAAGGAGAGTCGAGGAGACAAGGAGAGAGGAGAGGTGACAAGGAGAGGAGAGGAGACGAGGAGAGGAGACAAGGAGAGAGGAGGAGACAAGGAGACGAGGAGAGGAGACAAGGAGAGAGGAGGAGACAAGGAGAGAGGAGAGGTGACAAGGAGAGGAGCGGAGACAAAGGAGAGAGGAGGAGACAAGGAGAGAGGAGAGGTGACAAGGAGAGAGGAGGAGACATGGAGAGAGGAGAGGTGACAAGGAGAGGAGCGGAGACAAGGAGAGAGGAGGAGACAAGGAGAGAGGAGAGGTGACAAGGAGAGAGAGAGAGGTGACAAGGATTGAGGAGGAGACAAGGAGAGAGGAGAGGTGACAAGGAGAGAGGAGAGGTGACAAGGAGAGAGGAGACAAGAGAGAGAGGAGGAGACAAGGAGAGAGGAGAGGTGACAAGGAGAGAGGAGGAGACATGGAGAGAGGAGAGGAGACAAGGAGAGAGGAGAGGTGACAAGGAGAGAGGAGGAGACAAGGAGAGAGGAGAGGTGACAAGGAGAGAGGAGGAGACAAGGAGAGAGGAGAGGAGACAAGGAGAGAGGAGAGGTGACAAGGAGAGAGGAGAGGTGACAAGGAGAGAGGAGAGGTGACAAGGAGAGGAGGAGACAAGGAGAGAGGAGAGAAAACAAGGAGAGAGGAGGAGACAAGGAGAGAGGAGAGAAAACAAGGAGAGAGGAGAGGTGACAAGGAGAGAGGAGGAGACAAGGAGAGAGGAGGAGACAAGGAGAGAGGAGGAGACAAGGAGAGAGGAGAGGTGACAAGGAGAGGAGAGGAGACAAGGAGAGGAGAGGAGACAAGGAGAGAGGAGGAGACAAGGAGAGAGGAGGAGACAAGGAGAGAGGAGAGGTGACAAGGAGAGGAGCGGAGACAAGGAGAGAGGAGAGAAGACAAGGAGAGAGGAGAGGTGACAAGGAGAGGAGACAAGGAGAGAGGAGAGGTGACAAGGAGAGTGGAGAGGAGACAAGGAGAGGAGACAAGGAGAGAGGAGAGGTGACAAGGAGAGAGGAGAGGTGACAAGGAGAGGAGACAAGGAGAGAGGAGAGGTGACAAGGAGAGAGGAGGAGACAAGGAGAGAGGAGGAGACAAGGAGAGAGGAGAGGTGACAAGGAGAGAGGAGAGGTGACAAGGAGAGAGGAGAGGTGACAAGGAGAGGAGAGGAGACATGGAGAGAGGAGGAGACAAGGAGAGAGGAGGAGACAAGGAGAGGTGACAAGGAGAGAGGAGGAGACAAGGAGGGAGGAGGAGAAGAGGAGAGAAAACAAGGAGAGAGGAGAGGTGACAAGGAGAGAGGAGGAGACAAGGAGAGAGGAGGAGAGAGGAGAGAGGAGAGGAGACAAGGAGAGAGGAGAGGTGACAAGGAGAGAGGAGGAGACAAGGAGAGAGGAGGAGACAAGGGAGAGAGGAGGAGACAAGGAGAGAGGAGAGGTGACAAGGAGAGGAGAGGAGACAGGAGAGAGGAGGAGACAAGGAGAGGAGGAGACAAGGAGAGAGGAGGAGACAAGGAGAGAGGAGGAGACAAGGAGAGAGGAGAGGTGACAAGGAGAGGAGAGGAGACAAGGAGAGAGGAGGAGACATGGAGAGAGGAGAGGAGACAAGGAGAGAGGAGGAGACAAGGAGAGAGGAGAGGTGACAAGGAGAGGAGAGGAGACAAGGAGAGAGGAGAGGTGACAAGGAGAGAGGAGGAGACAAGGAGAGAGGAGAGGTGACAAGGAGAGAGGAGGAGACAAGGAGAGAGGAGGAGACAAGGAGAGAGGAGAGGAGACAAGGAGAGAGGAGGAGACAAGGAGAGAGGAGGAGACAAGGAGAGAGGAGAGGTGACAAGGAGAGAGGAGGAGACAAGGAGAGAGTCTGGTCTACTTCCGTGTCCTGTGAAGTAGAGCTCGTCTTTGTTGCCTCTATTTTTCTGGACTTGGCTGAACGCAGTTTCACATGAGGTTCATCACTGTTCAGTGAAGTAAAGCGACGTTTTTTCCCATCTGCAAATATTCGGGACACCTTCTGGTCATCTGAAGAAGTCTCACTGTCGTAAGAGTTTGGCACATATTCGTCCTCGCTGATTTCTGAACTCGATACATCTGTAGGGGTGTCTTCATCTCTGAGCATCCGCTTGGTAAGCTGAAAGAAAACAAAATAATACATATTTCATTGTTTTTATTCTTTAATACATCAAACCACAAGCATTTGAAAGTCAGACAAAAGAATGGAAAATAATCCATCCATTTTCTACCCCCTAATCCATTTATGGTCGGGGGATGGCAAGAGGTGCCACTCAGTACACATAGCACCAGCCCGTCACTGATCCTCCTACAGGTGCTGAGTCAACTGGAGGATGGCCAATCTATGGCACAGCCTTGATCTTTCAGCCGGACATTCAGGCAAATTGGGGTTCAATGTCTTGCCAAATGACACAACGACAGCAGTCATCAGTGGGAGTCCATTGCAAAATAAATAAAATAGAAAAAGATTAAGAATAAAACCTTTGACTAAATCTGAACTAAACCAGGACTAAACCAGGACTAAACCAGGACTAAACCAGGACTAAACCAGTTTTCCTTTCATTTTTCCTCTCTTCTCTTCTGGACTTCTCTCTCCTTGTCTGCTCTGTCTCCTCTCTCCTTGTCTGCTCTGTCTCCTCTGGACTTCTCTCTCCTTGTCTGCTCTGTCTTCTCTGGACTTCTCTCTCCTTGTCTGCTCTGTCTTCTCTGGACTTCTCTCTCCTTGTCTGCTCTGTCTTCTCTGGACTTCTCTCTCCTTGTCTGCTCTGTCTTCTCTGGACTTCTCTCTCCTTGTCTGCTCTGTCTCCTCTGGACTTCTCTCTCCTTGTCTGCTCTGTCTTCTCTGGACTTCTCTCTCCTTGTCTGCTCTGTCTCCTCTGGACTTCTCTCTCCTTGTCTGCTCTGTCTCCTCTGGACTTCTCTCTCCTTGTCTGCTCTGTCTCCTCTGGACTTCTCTCTCCTTGTCTGCTCTGTCTCCTCTGGACTTCTCTCTCCTTGTCTGCTCTGTCTCCTCTGGACTTCTCTCTCCTTGTCTGCTCTGTCTGCTCTGTCTCCTCTGTCTCCTCTGGACTTCTCTCTCCTTGTCTGCTCTGTCTCCTGTGGACTTCTCTCTCCTTGTCTGCTCTGTCTTCTCTGGACTTCTCTCTCCTTGTCTGCTCTGTCTCCTCTGGACTTCTCTCTCCTTGTCTGCTCTGTCTCCTCTGGACTTCTCTCTCCTTGTCTGCTCTGTCTCCTCTGGACTTCTCTCTCCTTGTCTGCTCTGTCTCCTCTGGACTTCTCTCTCCTTGTCTGCTCTGTCTTCTCCTCTGAACTCCCCTCTTTGCCTCTCCTTACCTGTTCTTTTCTCTCATCCTCTCCTTGTAATGTTATTTTGGATAGTTGGAAGTTGATAAAACTTGGCCATTCATAAACCCTTATTTCCCCTATGCTAGAAACACTGATGGGAGGTAAATGACAGATACCATGACACATCTTATGTCTGCATATCAGTTTTACAGATGTACTCACAATGACACTTTCAGTCCTCGTGAGCTCCGGGACCCCTGCACTGTCGGCAGCATACTGGTGGTCAAGGATGGTGGTCACTGTAGTACTGCTGTGACCAGACCCCTCTTCATGATGTTTCTATCAAATAATAATGACAGACAGACAGACACTTTATTAAGTGTATTAACTGGCGACAGTGTAGTCTCATGAAAACGATTGTTCAAATAATGAGATACAGTGTATGCCCAACAGCAATGAGGTACTGCCCAGCAGTGTTGCATCTCCTTCAATGGGAAAGTTGGAGCTCGAGCTGTCATTCAAGTCAGGAGTCAGGTTATGGCACAAAAGTGTTAAAAGAATGGGCCACGTTTTTCCACACTGAGATATGTTCTAATCTGAGCTTAGATGAGTTGATTCGTACCTGTCTGGTCTTTACCATAGACTGTATATATGAACGGACGTAGTCACGCCTATCTCCGCCGTTCTAACTAATTGGCAAAAAATTAGCCTTTCATGGAGCGAATCAAAATGGCTGCGGGGGCTGCAAAATGCATCTGGGCATGCACGAGCATGCACGCGCCCCACACATTTAAACGACGGCTTTAAAAGTCCACAGCGACTAAACTAGACTGGTCCAGAACACTCCCCTCAGCACTGACACATGTGGAACAGAGCTTTGGACCCAGAGCCACTTACGGACCATCTGTAAAGAAGTTTTTGAGAGGTCAGAAGCTACGTACATTTGCATTGAATAATTCCCTTTCTGGGTCCAGCCCCCTCTGGCCCGGGGTGGTACTGCAGCATGTCAGCACCCGTCATTTTGGACACTTTAGAGCCGGGACCCGCCCACACCGGTCAGCCGCCTGTTGAACTCACGGGAGATGCTGCAGTCGTAAACAAACTCGGATTTCTTCAAAAATAGTGTCATTTTGAAGCTTATGAGCTAAGGAACACGTTGATACCATAAGATTGGGTGAAAATCAACGCTGAAAGCCCGCTAACAGTGAAAGTGCAGCCTCTGTGCTCTTTTTTTCTTCTTTTTTTTCGCTAAAGATAAATGCACATTTTTGGATTATTACTGCTGAATGGATTATACTTTGGGAAATACAAATGGATATTCATTTTCCCTGGACATCTATAGAGAGAATGAGCCATAGGAAGCTGGGAAGAGATCTGATTTATTTATGCAGCACTAGATAAAAGGTAAACTTTTTCGGAAGTGATTTCTTTTGTGCCCATATTATGTGTTATATATTTTGAATGCAAAGGCTGATATTGTTGACACAGAAAATAAGCTTTAAAATGATATAGAGCTTTTGGGGTTTGGTGTTCAAAATGCATCTGCCAGCAGAACATTTTAAAAATAAAAACGGCTTGCCAGCGCGCCCGTGGATGTTAAGAGTTTAATATGGTTACGTGAGCCTTTACACGGCCCAAGTCTAGTTACACAGAATTAAACATTATGATTTTCTAAGTGGATAAAAAGGAGAACTATATTATAAAGTGTAAAAACACCTTAGGAGCACTTTATTGTCTGCACAGTAATTTGTTTAGAATTCAATAGAAGTAAATATATTACTGTGCAGATGTCAAAGTGCTCCTAAGGTGTTATTACTTCTTACAATGTAGTTCCCCTTTTTATCCGCTTAGAAAATCAACATGTTAAATTTTGTGTAACTACACTTGAATCGAACTGTTCACGTAAACATACTTAAACCTGGGAAACGTGGAAAAGTTTCATTGCTTCTAACTTCACCCCAATTTGCCCCCATAGAGGAGAATATGCTAAATGCTAAATGCTAACAACATCTTTGGTCTTTATGCATAGCATCAACTCATCTAAGCTCAGGTAAGAACATATCTCAGAATGGAAACACAGTGGCCTATTCCTTTAAGGCCAATTGTTGTTTTGAGAAGTCCAACACATATAAACCTTAATTTCTATTTACAATATGTAAGAATCTACTTTAAGTGATTCATCCTTTTGTTTGCTGCTAAAACTAAAATGCAGTGTTGTTGAGCTTTGTTCATCTATTACTGGACAAAAACTGAAACTACTGAAATGTGACATTTTTGTCTCAATGACTAAAACTAAGACTGAAACCAAGATGGCTGCCAAAAACAACACCATCACAGGCATCTCAAACTTGGTATAATTCAGTTCTAACTATTGTAATGTAGGGCTGATGCCAAACAGAGATACCCCACTCTGGAGGGACTGTGACAAATGAAGAAAAGCGAAATATGGCACATTTAAGTTAATAGAAAGTGTATCTTTACTTACCATTTCATTC